CCCTGGTGAGGGCAGGTGAACTGTGGGATCTGAGGCCCAGATGAGGCAGGAGTGGGTAGGAAGATGGCACCCAGGTGGTATGCACTTTTCTGTATTACTCTGTGGACCAATTTTGATGTTTCAGGACAGTAAAGCTTCAGATATCACCAACGGCATTTCTTTACATGTAAAAGCTTATGCAATCTAATAAGATATTTTAGGAGTTCTTCTAGATAAGGAATCTGTAAACATTTTCTTAAAAGCCTAGATAGTAAATATCCTAAATATTGTGGGATAAGAAGTAAAATTGAGGATATTATTAGGTATTTAACCCAGCTGTTTATAAATACGGAGGAGCGCCTGGATGGCTCAGTCGGTTAAGCATCTGACTTCAACTCGGGTCATGATCTCATGGTTCCTGAGTTCAAGCCCCGCTTCGGCCTCTGTGCTGACAGCTAAGAGCCTGGAGCCTACTTCAGATTCTGTGTCTCCCTGTCTCTCTCTGCCCCATTCACACTTGGTCTCTGTCTCTCTTTTTCAAAACATAAACATTAATTTTTTTTTTTTTTTTTTTTTTTTTTTTTTAATATGAGTACCAGGGTGCCTGGGTGGCTCAGTCAGTTGAGTATCCAACTCTTGATTTCGACTCAGGTCATTGTCCCAGGGTCATGGGATCAGTCTCCAAACCTACTTAAGATTCTCTTTCCCACCCCCTGCTCATGCTCTCTCTTTAAAAAAAAAAAAAAAAAAAAAATGTAAATGCTATTCTGAGCTTGAGAGGGGGAGCTGCATGCTGATTCCTTCCTGGACCATCTTCTTAGCCTTCTGATGATCCTGGGTGGTGGTGGTTTGTTTGTTTGTTTGTTTGTTTTTAAGTTTATTTTGAGAGAGGCAGAGCATGAGCAGGGGAGGGGCAAAGAAAGAGAGGGAGAATCCCAAGCAGGCTCCATGTGGTCAGTGTGCAGAACCCGACCCGGGGCTCAAACCCATGAAACCATGAGATCATGACCTGAGCTGAAATCAAGAGTCAGATGCTTAACCAACTGAGCCACCTAAGCTCCCTAATTCTGGGTTTTAAGGTGTTTTTCTGCTGAGATTGGATTGGAAAGATAGCACATTTCTCTTTGGAAAGATGAAAGCTGATCAGAGTGAAGTCATAAAAGGTGTCAATACGCATTTAAGCTCAGGATACCAGATCTATGGAAAGAATTGTTTTGTTTTTTAAAGTTCATTTATTTTGAGAGGGAGAGCATGAGCAGGGGAGGGGCAGAGAGAGAGGGAGAGAGAATTCCAAGCAGGCCCAGCATTGTCAGCACAGAGCCTGATACAGGGCTTGAACCCATGAACTGTGGGATCATGACCTGAGCCGAAATCAAGAGTTGGACGCCTTACTGACTAAGCCACCCAGGCATCCCTGGAAAGAATAGTTTTAGATCAAGTAAAAAGTTTGCCTTCCATAATATTCTCAGAAACCTTGTTACCTTAAATACTTGAGGAACCTGTTTACTGACTTTAAGAGTTTAAATGGGATCATAGATGTCAATTTTTCTTTCTTTCTTTCTTTCTTTCTTTCTTTCTTTCTTTCTTTCTTTCTTTCTTTCTTTCTTTCTTTCTTTCTTTCTTTTTTAATTTTTCAGAGAACATGAGCAGGGGAGGTGCACAGAGAGGGGGACAGAAGATCTGAAGAGGGCTCCATGCTTACAACAGAGAGTCCGATGCGGGGGCTCAAACTCAGGAACCTTGGGATCATAACCTGAAGTGCTTTATCAGTCGAGCCACCCAGACACCCCTGCAGATGTCAATTTCTAATTGCTGCCTTCAGCATGAGATGCATACCTCCTTCTCTGCCATAAGATGAAATCCTGGTGCCGTAACCTGGCCACACACTTTCAGAAAACCAACACGTGTTGGGGCGCCTGGGTGGCTCAGTCGGTTAAGCGTCCCGACTTTGGCTCAGGTCATGATCTCGCGGTCCGTGAGTTCGAGCCCCACGTCAGGCTCTGTGCTAACGCTCAGAGCCTGGAGCCTGTTTCAGATTCCGTGTCTCCCTCTCTCTGACCCCCCCCCCCCCCCCCCCCCCGTTCATGCTCCCTCTCTCTCTCTGTCTCAAAAATAAATGTTAAAAAAAAAATCTCTTAAAATGAAAACCAACACGTGTGTGCCTAACACAGTCATACTAGGAGACATTGCGAGCCAGCAGTGCTGGCTCTCACAGTAGCATTGCCTCACAGTAGCATTGCCACTGCATGTGTCAAGAGAAACATTGCCAAACAGGTGACTTTTTGAAGTGATAGCCAACGATCAGAATTTCAAAGCACCTCAACAAAGAATGTAACAATCTAATTAAAAATGGGCAAAGGACTTCAATAGACATTTCTCCAAAGAAGATATATAAATGACCAGCAAGCACAAGAAGAGATCCTCAGTTTCATTAGCTAGCATAGAAATGCAAATCAAAGCCACAATGAGATAACCACCTCAAATTCATTAAGTTGGTTGTTTAAAAAAACCCAGAAGAATGATAATGAGTATCATCGAGGCTGTGGAGAAATTGGAACCCTTGTGCACTGTTGGTGGGAATGTAAAATGGCATGGTCTCTGTGGAAAATACTATGCAGTTCCTCAGAAAAGTTAGATATAGAATTACCGTAAGATCCAGCAAGTCTACTTCTTTTGGGGTATATCCCCAAAAGAATTGAAAGCCAGAACTTGATGAGATCGTTGTATACCATGTTCATGGCAGCCAGAAGGTGGAAAAAACCCAAGTGCCCACTGAAGAGTAAATGGGTAAACAAAATGTCTGTCCATACAGTGGAATGTTATTCAGTCTTAAGAAGGGAAATTCTGACACATGCTACAACATGGATACATCTTGAGGACAGTATGCTATGTGAAATAAGCCGGTCACAAAAAGACAAACACTATGAGCCCATTTATATGAGATCTCTAGGGTAGTCAAGTTTTCAGAGAAAGTAGAAACGTGGGTGCCAGGGGCTCAGGGGAATGGAGGGTTGGTAATGGATACGGAGTTTCAGTTTCAGATGAAAAAGTTGTAGAGATGGGTGTTGGTGATGATTGTAGAATAATAGGAATGTATTTAATGCCACTGAGCTGTACACTTTAAAATGGTTACGGGGGGGGGCGCCTGGGTGGCGCAGTCGGTTAAGCGTCCGACTTCAGCCAGGTCACGATCTCGCGGTCCGTGAGTTCGAGCCCCGCGTCAGGCTCTGGGCTGATGGCTCAGAGCCTGGAGCCTGTTTCCGATTCTGTGTCTCCCTCTCTCTCTGCCCCTCCCCCGTTCATGCTCTGTCTCTCTCCCAAAAATAAAACGTTGAAAAAAAAATTTTTTTTTAAATGGTTACAAGGGGGAGGTGGGGTGTCTGGGTGGCTCAGTTGGTTAAGCAATCCAGTTCTTGATTTCGGCTCAGGTCATCATCTCACAGTTCATGAGTTCAAGCCCCGCGGCGGGCTCTTCGCTGACAGTATGGAGCCCTGGGCAGTGTGGAGTCTCTCTGCCTCGTGCTTGCTCTCTTTCCCTCCTCCTCCCCCTCCCCCTCCTTCTCTTCTCTTGCTCAAAAATAAATATTTTTAAAATGGCTACAGTAGAACATTTTATATTACGTGTATTTTACTACAATAAAAAAAAAAGAGATCGGGTTCACAAAGAAGTGCTTGTGATTGTTACAGTACTGTCTTTGCATTAAAATCCAAATGTTGATTTTGATTTTTTCTTTGAAAAAAAATTTTTTTTTTCAAACAAAGCATAGTTTTCTTTCATTTAACTTGGTTGTTGCCTGCCTGGAAAAAGTGCATTAAAGTAGTGGCAGAAGCTGTGAAATGGGGTTCTAATGTGGGCTGAGACCATTACAGACACAGCTGTAGATACCCCCCTACTCACAACCCAAATGCGCCACTGCAGTTTCCAGAATGCCCCCTAGGGGGCATTGGCTGGAGCAGTGGACACAAAAAGGCCCCGGGGGCACTCCTGACTTGAGCTGCACTGGCCTGAGCTGGCCCCACATGGTGTGGCTCTAAGTGGCAAGGGCTTTTTGAGGGAGGGGGGGCCAGTGTCTGATCCTGTCTCACTACTCAGAAAAATCTGGTGCCTGCCCTGGGGCTTCTGTCATTCATTCCTCCCTGTCCTCATCACTGTTCCGACACTCCTCCTGCCTGACCCAACCTCATGTGGGAGATGTGTCATCTCCTCCTGTTGGGAGCATGGGGAGATGACAAGGACTGTTGACTGCTGTCTGAGGTTCCTGGCGGTGGCTTTAGGAATGCCCGTTAATCTCTGGCGAGTTGAATCCATGTGCCTCTGAATGGAAATGTGAGCTCGGAAGTGCCTGTGAAATTCATGGGTTATTGTTAAAGTTGCCTTTTGGTATGTTTTTGCAGTTGTGACTTATAAAGGGTAATATAAGTAGTAAGATTATAGCCTGAGTTTGGAAGGCCGTCCTAACATTGAACTAATTCATAAGGAAGAAGGGCTGCCCTCTGGAGAGGGAAACTGGCAGTGGAGGAAGTATGTTGACTAGTGAGAAAACCGCTCTCCCTCATCTCCAGTGGACACAGCCTTTACGTCTGGTGCTTAGGCTTTGGTGGGACCCATCACTCTGCTGGCATTCCAGGCCCTCTGTCCTGACACTGTGCAGCTGTCCCCAGAGGGGATTGCAACAACTTTGTAAAAAGTCATCCTGCTCCTTGTGACCCTCAGTCGTGGGAACGAAGCGTTTTCCTCAGCATCCAGTTTGCTCATGGCTCCGTGACCAGATGGGATTGGACCTGGATATGCAGGAGGCAGGGTGGATGACCTAGGTCACCAACACCCTGTTTTTGTCCAGGTGGGTTTAATAGGGAGAGTGTAAAAAGTCCGGTCAGAAGAAGCTGAACGGTCTTAGGTGGAGAGCAGGCCGGCACTTGTGGGAAGGTCACCATGGCTGCTCATTTGAGGAGAGGTCACGTGCCTGGGCTAAGGCCTGAAAGCTGCAGCCTTGCGTGGTGATGGCACTGTTCTGCTGTAGGTCGGTGGACCAGAGGGCATTCTGCAGAACGGGGCTGTGGATGACAATGTGGCCAAGACCAGCCAGCTGTTGGCCGAGTTGAACTTTGAAGAAGATGAAGAAGATACCTATTACACGAAGGATCTCCCTGTACATGCCTGCAGGTGAGTGCCGACGGCAGAGTCTCAGACTCCTCCCGCAGAGCTTTTTCATTCTGAGTGGGTTTGCTGGCTTTAGAAGCCCATCCAAGCCAATGGACTGTGACATTTGGTATTACGAAATAAGGAGATTCTTCAGATTTGTCTGTACATAGTCAGGAGCGGGAGGGCGGGGTCAGCACACTCTGACACCCCTAATTCACCTAGAGGGTAGGGGAGAGACTCCCCTTCGCAGGCCTTGACGTGGTTCCTGGTACCTGTTCCGCTCACTCATTCAAAAGAATTCCTCACATTTGGTGAGCATTTAGGTTTAGAGGGTAAACAAACAGCAGCTAAATTTCTCTTACAAAGAGATGATTGACTGTAGGATACTTTAAAATATCTGCCTCTCTGATGTGTTCAAAATTCCCCCAAAATTGGAGTTGAATAATCAGTGGGTAGACCTGTTTGTTGACCAAATTTGGAATTCTCATCTAGAGCAGGATCCATCTGTTACATTTTGACCCTTAAGCTTGGACTTACTCTTGCTTTGTTACACATACGCAAGAAAATTGAGACCAAAAGAGGTGAAATGATCTTGCTCAGGGCACCCGGCCAGTCAGGGCCACTTTAGACCTGGGCCACGGCTCAGTCTTGCCCACCTCTCGGGCACATTGCCCCCCCAGAGTCTGTGCCCACCACAGGATAGTGCTGCTCTTTTCCCTGCTCTGTGGACAGACTTTTTTTTTTTATAACTATTTTGGCTTTTTGTTTTTAACTTTATTTTGGCTCTTGTTTCCACTCTTGTTTCCACTCTTGTTTACAAACGTTTTTATGTACGTGTTAGTGATGTGTCAGTGTTCCTGTTACCTACACATTTGACAGTGAAGTGGTTCCGGTAAAGCTGCAGGTGGTTAAAGTTTGCACACCCCCTCACCTTCCCAGCTGTCCCCAAGGTGTGGGGTGTTGCAGGGAAGGTTCTTGGCTGACCCACATTCAGTTTGAGACTGAGTCTTGGCTTCATACACACAGAGGACTCTGTGGTGAGCCAGTTTTTGTTTTTGATGTGTTGATTTTCAGAAGAATGAGGCTGGGGGCTCTCCTGAGGTGCTCCTTGCAAGCTTGAGCTCAGTCTGCCCCCTGAGACGCTCTGCTGCTGGGGCTGAGCTGAGCGTTCCCAGGAGCATGGCGCCCTCTGCTGGGATGTGGAGTGCCTTGTGAACGTGGTGTGGTTACAGCTTACTCTTCTGTGTGCCCAGAGCCAGGGATGCTGACTTCCGTTCTTTTGAGTCACAGTTCTGGAAACTTCAGGCCAAAGGGAGTGACAGGGGGTTGCTTTGGGGTGTCAGACCTCCATTGTTGGGCTCACCTGGCACTTTCCACAGTTCTCACCCCTCACCTGGAAGGGGCTTTGCTGTTGTCTAGGGCCTCTCTGAGGAAGCTCCCCAGCACCCTGAACCCTTTCCCTGCATTTGCAGGGTCGAGAAGCCTCTGCAGTTAACTGATTGGATTTTGCTAGTGGGATCGTTGGGTTTGAGTATGTGTTTAATGAAAAATTTAAAAATGTTGTAAGAGGAAACATCCTGCCAAATTAAAACCAGAGAAAGACCTTCCAGCTTTAACTGTTGATGTTTTGACTTTTTTAGTTACTGCGGAATACACGATCCTGCTTGCGTGGTTTACTGTAATACCAGCAAGAAGTGGTTCTGTAATGGACGTGGAAATACTTCTGGCAGGTAGATAATCAAACCGCGCATGTGTCTTTAATCAGTGCTGTGCTCAGATTTGTGTGTAAATTATGGAAATGTTGAAGCAAAAGCACAATATAAAATCACGCTAACAAACCTGGTTTTTTCCCTCCTCTGTGACTGGTTTAACTTGAAACAGATGGTGGTGTGTGAATGCCTTAATGTATTTACCCTTGATTTATTCTCTGTGGTTCTTTTTATTATGCAAGTAGGGTTGGCTTAATTCTCGTTCCCAGTTTTTATTTATATTTTTCTGCAAGATGAGCTCCTGGCACGCCCGTTTGTCTTCATTACTGGGTGCCTGGGGAGGATGTTCCCAAGACAGTAATGGGCATCCATGGGAGCCGCTTCCTGAGAAGGCTCCCTCTGGCCTTAGCTCATCGGAGCAGTCCTGAGGCTAATACGGGCCAGATCCTGAATCATCGGATTAAATTAAGTTCACTTGACCGTCGTCTCTGGGCTTCCCTTCCTGCTGTTGATCAGCAGCAGCTGTGACTGGGTCTCTTGTTTTGTATTTGGGGTGAGACCAGTTTTGTGCTGGTGCTTGGATTCCAGGGAGAGTCCAGTCTGTTTGTCTAGTTCTAGTGATGGGACTCCTTGGTCCCTACCACCAGTGAGGGTCCAGTCCTAGTGGCTTCTCCAGAGGCTGCCATCATGTGTGATAGCTCACTCCTCTGTCATAGAGAAGTAGAGCAGAGTCTTGTGGGAAATGGCGCCTGGTCTTCGGCAAGAAAGCAGCATTTTCTGGGATCCGTGTTTTAGAGACATAAAGTGGCGAAACCCCATAGGAAAGTTTATTTGCGCAGAGCCCCCACTCTTCCTGTGTCTTCAACAGCTGTAGGCCAGGCCTCACCATCTTGTACTGCCTGAGGACAGTGGACAGATCTTGTGTCATCTTAGAGTGAGCAGTGCGAACTGTGAAGTTCTGAGTGAGGCAAGAAAGGGGACTGATGGTTAATTTTTAAATGTTCCATTTATTTTGAGAGAGTGAGCACAAGAGGAGGGGAGGGAGGGAGGGAGGGAGAGAGAGAGAGAGAGAGAGAGAGAGAGAGAGAGAATCAAGCAGGCTCCATGCTGTCAACACAGAGCCCTTACTCAGCTCGATATCACAAACCGTGAGATCATAACCTGAGCTGAATCAAGAATCAGATGCTTAAGCACCTGAGCCCCCCAGGCGCCCCATGGTATTTAATTTTAAAGATTTGAAAGGAAAAGCATCTTCAGGGTAACCAGTATCATGTCCCATTTTCAGAATGTTCTGGGTAATTTCAGCATTACTGTGATTGCATTAGTTCCTCTTCTGCAGGAAAAGCAATTAAATAAAACTTAGCTGGCAACCCCAGCTTCCGGTCAGCAGAGCCAAGATCAGGGAAGTGAGTGAAAGGCCTCTAAGAGAAAACAGACTCTGTCAGCCAGCACTGCATGTTTGCATGAGGCCAGATGATAAAGATAATGGGGCAGCCCCTGCCTTCAGGGAGCTTCCAGTGTAGGTGGGATGAGGTGGGTGCAGAAAAGACAGAGGAAATCAGAGTCTGGTAAAATGCCCAGTTGTGTGTGACAGCTTCAGAAAAGTGGATGCTGAGAGCGGTGACGGTTGGTTGGATAATCTGACTAGCTTCATGGGTCCAGAGAGGGTTAGGATGTCAGCTGAAGCTTGCAACAGAAGGGGTTTCCCCGGAGGTGAAGGGAGGGCGGCAGCAGCAAGGCAGGCTGGAAGCCCAGCAGGCGTGCTCAGTGCTCAGTGTCTGACAGGCGTTCAGGTAGCTGGGAGAGCCCAAGGCAGAGCCAAGCACCACTTGTTGGACCCCAAGCAAGGCTGACTTGTCTTAGGGTGGAGTTTGCAAGCCCCGGGTGTAAGCGAGCTCTGTCCCGGAAATGGGAAGGCCACGCGGCAGTAAGGAAAGAGCGAGACAAGCCGCTTTCAGATAGTTCAGAGCCGGCCCTGTGCTTCCTGAGAGTAGCCCTGGGCCCTGCTGCTCCATGTTTTTTTACTGTCCTCAGGTTTCTGATATGTTTGGTTATCGAGTTTCCTGGCCTGCAGCAAATTAGGAGGGGCTGTTGCTCCTGGAAGCAGGCACAGCGGCCAGAAGAGGCTACACCGAGAAGCGTCTACAAACAGAGAGGAGTGGTGGAAGGGGCAAAACCTCCTGCTTCTCCGGGACAGCAGTCTTGGCCTCAGTGATATGTTCAGTCAGGCCCCATACGTAGGATTTCAGAAAGCAGGAACTAAAAAAAAGAAGCAGGAACTATGTGAAACGTGTTAGGAAAGTTTTCCTTAAAGGCTGTTCAAGTCGGATTGATTTTTACGCTCAGTGGGGAGCCAGTTCAGGGGCGGGCTGGTCCCCTGGGATGCCAGATGGATGAGGTGTGACCGCCCCTGCTAATGGACTGTGAACGGTACCGGAACTTTTAACGGGGGGCTTGAAAATTGGAAGTGGTGAAAAGCCAAACTTTGGGTGTTAACTATTTATCATTTCCTGGTTTCAGCCACATTGTAAATCACCTCGTGAGGGCAAAATGCAAAGAGGTGACTCTGCACAAGGATGGGCCCCTGGGGGAGACAGTTCTGGAGTGTTACAACTGTGGCTGCCGCAATGTCTTCCTCCTCGGCTTCATCCCTGCCAAAGCGGACTCCGTAGTGGTGCTCCTGTGCAGGTGAGGGCGGGGCCCTGATTTGGAGGGGGTGGGGCATTCGGCGCCAGCCGGCCCTATTCTGCCCAAGGGAGAGGTGTGAGCACATTTGGGGGGGAGGGGCTAGTCAGAACTGAGTACGTTGAGGAACTCTTCTGGGGCGGGTTCTGGTTAAGTCATGAAAACACTTGTGTAAAAGCGGTGTTCTAAGAGTTCAGAGCTCAAGTGCATGGGGAGAGGCAATGTATTACTAACAATTTAAAGGTAATGTGATCACATGATAAGACGTAGGGAACATCATTTTGGGGTGAAAAGTAAGCCTTGGGGGCAGAGGTCATCCTCACCTGGGCTCTCCCTGCCCACGGTGTTTCTGTAGGCAGCCCTGCGCCAGTCAGAGCAGCCTCAAGGACATCAACTGGGACAGCTCCCAGTGGCAGCCCCTGATCCAGGACCGCTGCTTCCTCTCTTGGCTGGTCAAGATCCCTTCTGAGCAGGAGCAGCTGCGGGCCCGGCAGATCACTGCTCAGCAGATCAACAAGCTGGAGGAGCTCTGGAAGGTAAGGGCCTGCTGAGAATGCAAATCTGCCTCAGCACATTTCTGGTCCAGGGGGAGCTGCTGGGAGTGTGTTCAAAACAGGAGATTCTGGAAGGAGCTCAGGAGAGACTGCCCTGTGTACTTGAGTGGCCCCTTGGTAGAAGCCCATGGCCACCTCCTGCCAGGCCTGTGGGGAAGGACAGCTCCAGTTGTTGGAATTTCTCTCTTGTTGCAGAGGGAAAGAGGGTGGGAGAGGGTGAGGGTGGGTAGTGGGAGGGAGGAGGACCAGAACTGTCTGTGGATGGACCTGCTGGGAGGACCCTGGGCCTGGGGAAACAGGACTGTGAGGATGCTGTACAACCTCGTGGGGCCTGTGATGTGTCAGCCAGGGTGACACCAGGCCAGGGGTGAATGTTCAGGGGGAAAGGGTCCAGGTCACAAAGGTCAGAGAGGCAGGGCCTATGGCAGCTGGTGGAGTGAAGGGGAGGGGCTTCCATATTGCGTGGTGGGGTGCCTGCCCCACCCAACAGATCTCCTTCCCAAGGGAAGCCCTTCTCTGCTTCTGGCATCTTTTATGATAAAATTTCAGTAACTGGGTTAGAAATTTTAATTAGGTACCTGTATAATCTGAAAATTTTTTTTAATGTTTATTTAGTTTTGAGAGAGAAAGAGAGAGCGTGAGTGGCAGAGGGGCAGAGAGAAAGGGAGACACAGAATCTGAAGCAGGGTCCAGGCTCTGAGCTGCCAGCACAGAGCCCGGTGTGCGGCTCGAACTCGCGAACTGGAAGATCATGACCTGAGGCGAAGTCGGACACGCCACTGACTGAGCCACCCAAGGAGCCCATATATAATCCAAAATCTTTTTCTTTTTTTAATGTTTTTTTATTTATTTTTATGAGGGGAGGGAGGGGCAGAGAGAGAGGGAGACAGATGGTCCGAAGCAGGCTCTGCACTGACAGCACAGAGCCCGATGCGGGGCTCAAACTCATGAACCATGAGATCATGACGTGAGCTGAAGTCGAACACTTAACTGACCGAGCCGCCCAGGTGCCCCTAATCCGAAATCTTAAACATGAATTTATTTTTGAGTGCAAGTCAGAATATTTCTGCAGTGTCATCTAGCAGGGTACCTTTCTGCTTCGATTTTCAGATTGCCAGATTTATAAACGTTTCCTGTTTATATCCCCACAGCCCAGATACTGTCCTGTCCCGGCCAGGGAAGAGTGTGTCACCCCTGTCGGTGCAGCACAGGGTCAGAAAGAATGGGGGGGTGCTCCCCTTTTGTTTACACACCCAGGGAACTAGTGGTCTTTTTTGTACCCCAAAAGAAGTATTCTCTCTCCTAGTTCAGGGGCTAGGCATTGGTTGGAGGATGCGGCCATTTGATGGTATAGGTGCGTCAGGCTGTGTACTTGGGGTGTCATTGCCAATATTCGCCCTGCTGGTGTAGCCCTGGGCAGAGGAGGGTTAGGAGCAATGGCTGAAGTTTGAGCAAAGACCCGGGCCAGCGTCTGCCTCCCTGTGCCACATACACTTCCTCACACGAGGGCTCTCCTTGTGGGGTGGACACCACTGACTGCCGGTGCCCTTCTCTGCGTCAGGCCAACGTCGACTCGTTCTGAGAGGTGATGGATATGCTCTGTTCTTTCGGTGACTAGTGAGCTCGTGTGTAGTTCCTGTCGTATGTCGGTGAAAATGGGCAAGAACATGGTGTGGCGCTTGTGTTGTAGGAAAATCCTTCTGCCACCTTGGAGGATCTGGAGAAGCCCGGTGTGGATGAGGAGCCGCAGCACGTCCTCTTGCGGTATGAGGACGCCTACCAGTACCAGAACATATTCGGCCCTCTGGTCAAGCTGGAGGCCGACTACGATAAGAAACTGAAAGAGTCCCAGGTGATGTGTGTGCAGGAGGGTTTCGGTCGTTTTAACACAGCGTCTCTCCTAAGGTCTGGGGAGGGCAGTTTCCTCTGCAGACTGCGGACGCTGACGCGGGCTGAGGCACAGTGCCCTGAGAGACAGAACGGTGGATTGAGGGCAGGCGAGGGCGTGACCCTCGGGCAGACGCCCGGTCACTCTGAGCTAAACACCGGCCTGAGTGTTTTCTGATTTAAAATCCAACAAAAATCCCTCACAGTTGGGTTCGCAGCCTTTGCCCACAGCTACAAGAGTCGGACCCGAGGAGCCATGGCGCTGAGGGCGCTCCTTGTACCAGTCCCACGAAGAACACATAGGAAGTGGGAGCTCCGAGGATCAGCTGTCAGCCTCCTCCCCCCTCTGCAGTTCACAGAGAAGCCGCCTCCAAGAGCAGACATCGTGTGGGGGTCTCCTGGTCAACTTGAGTGGGTTCTGGGGGTCCTAATGGCTTCTCTTCTGGATATGCCCTTGTCGGTGTTTCAGGCTGTTGGGTGCTGCTCACTGTACCCCGACGTCATGGCTCGTAAGGTTGCCATAGGGCACACACCTGTGGAAACCCAGACACGAGGAGTCCAGGCCTGTGTCTGTGTCTCAGGCTAACAGGGGTCTTATCTTTCATGTGCTCAGACTCAAGATAACATCACGGTCAGGTGGGACCTGGGCCTTAACAAGAAGAGAATCGCCTACTTCACTTTGCCCAAGACTGACTCTGGTAATGAGGATTTAGTCATAATTTGGTTAAGAGGTGATTTTAAGTTTTAAAATATTTGTGACCATAAGTAGCATAAAATTCCTAGTTTCTCCCTTGTAAAGTGTCCCTTAATTTGTTTAAACTCTTCATGGTGGCAGCCTCGGCACATGTTGAAAACGCTAACTTTCTTGTTGTCTTTTTTCTGGAAGACATGCGGCTCATGCAGGGAGATGAGATATGCCTGAGATACAAAGGGGATCTGGCACCCCTGTGGAAAGGGATCGGCCACGTCATCAAGGTCCCTGATAGTATCCTTTGAGTAAAGAAAGGCGAGCTTGTCCTGAGCCCCGCAGATGGAAGAAAGGGCGTCTTGGGCGGCCATGGCTGGAGGTGCCCCTTTGAGGGGGAGTTTGCCGCTGAGCCCTTTCTGCAGTTGTGCTGCGGGCGTGCCGTCTGTTTCAGACCGGTCAAAGAGCGGCTTTGCCTGAGGCCAGGGTGCTCCCAGCTCTGCACCCCGGGGCTCTGTGGAAGTTCCTTCAGAAGCCCAGCCGGGGTGGGGCCGCTCCGCGCCTGCACTGCCCCAGTGCGCCCAGGGAGGGTGCGGGAGCTGGCTGTAGTGAGCCCAGACATGGCGGCGTCTGTCCGTGAGCGCCTGGGGCAGGCTGGCCTTCGCTGTTTGGCGCACAGGAGGGGGCTCTCTCCTCAGTAGCCTAATGAAAAGTCTCCTCGGAAAGGTAAACCCGGCTTTTGACAAAGATGAAACTTAACTCAGTGGCACAGATTATGGCGATGAGATCGCCATTGAGCTTCGGAGCAGTGTGGGCGCCCCTGTGGAGGTGACTCACAACTTCCAGGTGGATTTCGTGTGGAAGTCAACCTCATTTGATAGGTATGTCCACGTTGCCCCCTGCGGGCGCACCTGCCACCTGCTGTGCAGTCAGTCACTTGCTGTTGGCGCAGGCACTGCCCTCAGCACCTGGATGATTCTCTGCATCCCCGAGGGCAAGACTTCACCCGTCTGGGTCGTGCGTGTTGCTGACCCTGAGCTTTCCTTCCAGGATGCAGAGTGCTTTGAAAACGTTTGCTGTGGATGAGACCTCCGTGTCAGGCTACATCTACCACAAACTGCTCGGCCACGAGGTGGAGGATGTGATCATCAAGTGCCAGCTGCCGAAACGCTTCACGGCACAGGGGCTCCCAGACCTCAACCACTCTCAGGTTCTCACTTTTTCAGGGGGGTGGAAGGGGCCTGGCCTGGCCGGCAGAGCCTGCTGGGTGGGTGGCCCTCCACTCGGCGGGGGCGGCTGCAGCCTAAAAACTGCTTGTATCTGAAGGTTTACGCTGTGAAGACTGTGCTGCAGAGACCACTGAGCCTGATTCAGGGGCCACCGGGTACGGGGAAGACCGTGACCTCTGCCACCATCGTCTACCACCTGGCTCGGCAGGGCAACGGGTAGGGTTCAGCACGGCCCGAGGTGGAAAGAGGGAGGCCTGTCTGCTAGGCTGCCTGGGGGCTATTTTTTATATTATTTGTATGAGGTCTGGCTTTTATGGTTGCTTTCAATGAGAAAGCCTGCTGCTCTGGTAAAGGCGGTGGATGGGTTGACGTATCCTGAGTTTTGTGCCTGTGTGCTTCGAGGGGCTTTGAAAGTCTTTACGGTGCAGACGGGAGGGTGAGGATGCGGGACCCAGTAGCATTGCTGCGCGAGAGAAGTGTAGAAACCAGGTGGATACAGGAAGCTCCACAGACTAGTTGGGTTTTATAGCTCCTTCAGCTTTGTTCACTCCTGGCGTTAGTCTTAGGTTGTGAGCGGGTTCCACTAGCTGTGATTCAGAACACCAGTGCTGGCAGTTAGCGTTTCCTGAATTTCCTCTGGGCAAGTCCTGAGACGCCTGTTCACGTTGTGTTGAAGGCCTGTGCTCGTCTGTGCTCCGAGTAACATAGCTGTGGATCAGCTGACTGAGAAGATCCACCAGACTGGGCTGAAAGTCGTGCGGCTCTGCGCGAAGAGCCGTGAGGCCATTGATTCCCCGGTGTCATTCCTGGCCCTGCACAACCAGATCAGGAACATGGATAGGTGGGTGTTGAGCCGCCTGCCTCGAGCGTGGTGCTTCTCCCGCGTGCGGGCCCTGGCAGCGCCTGCCTCCTGTGCCCGCTCACGTGTTGCTGTGCCTCCAGCATGCCGGAGCTACAGAAGCTGCAGCAGCTGAAGGACGAGACTGGGGAGCTGTCCTCTGCCGATGAGAAGCGGTACCGGGCCCTGAAGCGCACCGCCGAGCGGGAGCTGCTCATGGTGAGCTCTTACCTTTGGGGTGGTGTCGTGTTCAATTTGGCTGTGGGAACCGTTTGAGTTTGCCAAGCGTAGGATGGCATCTCTAGGTCAGGTTTTTTGTTTTTGTTTGCTTTTGAGAAAGAACTTCCGTCCCTCCCGTATTTATCTTCACTGTGGTTGTGCACCTTGGCTGGGAGGTGGGTCTGCAACACTCTCCTGCTCTTTTTTAACAAACTAAGGTTTCCCTGGCTCTGCATTGCCTCTCAGAGGCTGTCTTGAGGCACAGAACCATTTCTGTGCTGAGGGGTTATTCTGATGAAGTTCACCAACTTAGGATCTCAAAAGTTAGTGTCCCTGCAGCCTAGACCTAGAGATTGTTTGGGTGGGACAGCCTGTTGCCATAGGTGTCAGGGTTGGGGGGTGGTCTGTGTTCTGTCCCTTCTGCCCTTTGGGGCCTGGCAACATTTACCATGCCCTGAGGCCTCGCCTGCTCTCATTTTCAGAATGCAGATGTCATCTGCTGCACGTGTGTGGGTGCAGGGGACCCGAGGCTCGCCAAGATGCAGTTCCGCTCCATCTTAATTGACGAGAGCACCCAGGCCACCGAACCAGAGTGCATGGTCCCTGTGGTTCTTGGCGCCAAGCAGGTGAGCCATGTCACGTTCGCTGTAGTCCTGTTTGAAAACCAGTGGGTATTCTCTTGTTCGGTTTCATGTAAATTTCAGTGCTGGAGGTTTATTTTTGGTAATGTTCTGTAATGCCATGTGATGTCCTGGCAGAGCAGAGGGACGCATGGAGGGCCCACTGTGGGGTTCTTGGAAAGATGGGTGGCACAGAGAGCTCTTTGGGTCCAAGTGCATGTCTGTGTGTCTCATATACAGGTCTCCCCCACCATCCAAGAGTAAAGAATTCCCTTGAAGCCTCTCATAAGCCAAAATGGGATAAAGTGAAGAACATCCCTGCTTTCCAAAAATTCGCATTACACCATTCTGCTTTTACAAAAGGCCTGTGTTAGTTCCTGTTTTTGACAACCAAAATAAATTGGCAGAGGATTTGTGCTTTTACGGAAAAAGCCATTACCATACTAATGTGGTCTTTTGTGAAAGAGAGGTGGCATAACACGAACCTTTTTGGGAAAGCCTGGATACCTGTATGTGGCGGCAGGTTTTCTGGCGCCTGGTCAGATGGTACTGCTTGAATTCGCACGGCTGGGTGGTTGTGTCTCAGGGCCCCTCGGGGCCCCTTAGTACCCCGTGAGTGGGTGTCTAGGCGGTTTCGTACTTGAGCTCCTCACCTGTGTGGGCTTCTCGCCACAGCTCATCCTCGTGGGTGACCACTGCCAGCTGGGCCCTGTGGTGATGTGCAAGAAGGCCGCCAAGGCTGGACTGTCCCAGTCGCTCTTCGAGCGCCTGGTGGTGCTGGGCATCCGTCCCATCCGCCTCCAGGTCCAGTATCGGATGCACCCAGCGCTCAGTGCCTTCCCGTCCAACATCTTCTACGAGGGCTCTCTTCAGAACGGCGTCACCGCAGGTAGTGCTCAGCCCACAGTGGGGCCTGGGGTGACGAAACCTGTTGTCACTGCCTACCCGGCCTTATGTGCTGATCGCTTGTGGGTAGGGGGCACCTCAGAGAGGCACAGTGGTCAGAGGGACAGGATGTCGTCCACTCTGGAGTATGGGATGTCCTTGGGGTGTGGGCGAGGGGAGCTCACGTCCTTGCAGAATGCAGTCACTGTCTGAGAGTTCACACCCGGGGGCTTATCACACAGCAGGCAGAACAGGAGATGGCAGAGCTGACGACCCCTCTAACTCCTTGCCCTGTTGAGGTTCTCAAAGCCCAGGCCCCGGGAGCTCACGGCACTGAAGTCCGAACTACTCTCATAGTAACACTGAGGCGTCACATGCCCTTTTACCGTGCTGACTCTGGTGCTGAGGGTGCAGGAGCAACCCTGGAGGGCTGGCTGGTGCCTCAGCATGAGTGGGGACAGTGCTGCCAGCCAGCCTGTGGCTTCAAGGAAAACAGTTGACAGTATTTACCACCAGTGATAAAACCTGAGGGTTCAAATGAAAATCAGAGTTTTGGAAATCTCCTGTCCCTGTCCTGAGCTGACCAAGTCTTCTCAATGCTGAGAAGCTTTTCTGATGAGATCTGTGGTGGTGACAAATGTCTGTGAAGACTGTAAATCTTTAGGAGCTCTGCTCGACTTGGTGAGCAAGTACTTCCCATGTGACAGCCAGCAGGGGTGTTAACAAAGTCAAAGGCCATCCTGAGGGCACGGCAGAGGAGAAAGGCTCTCTTGTCACCATTCTGCAGGGTAACCTCCTGTCCAGCTTTGGTGTGGAATCTTGCAGAACTCCACAGTTGTGGAGAAAGTTCTGAGACACTCTTCCCTTTCCCAGCTGCATGCATCTGTGAGGCCTGATCGCCCTACTGCAAGGGCTCACGGGAGACTGAGTACAGAAGCAGAGTCAGCTAAATTGTGAACTGAGTAGCAAAACCTCAGAGATAATATTAGCAGGACATACTACTTTTCGTTAAAAATATTTTTGCTAATGTGGTTAAAGGAATTTGTATTTTATATTTCTAGGTTTCAAAATACAGTAAATGTCAGTAGATACAACCCATGGAATTGGGAGCTGTTTGCATTCCTCACCTTTTCAGGATGTAAATGGGCCCTGAGACTGGCGTTCTTAATGTCTGGTTAATGCCGCAGCCTGCCATGTCGGCCTTGTCTGGCCTGCTGTGTGGGTGAGGTGGAGGCTGAAAGCGCACGCCTGACCAGGGCCGTGCAGCCACTGCACAGTACAGCCCTGGGAGTTGATGGTGCTGTTATTACTACCATCACCGTGAGACTTAGAACATCACTGGTCCATTGGGTGGTGGGGCTAGGAAAGGCCAGGCCAAATGGAGCTTGTTTGCAATTTGACAGTAGCTGGGAGAGCCATCACTTAGCTCTCATTCAGACCCTTGCCAGCCCTGCTCTGCCTCCTTCCGTGGCATTGGCTTTGTGGGGGAGTGGGAGTGGGAGTGGTGGTTCCCTGCTGTGTCCTCTGTGCCCAGCACGTAGTCAGCACCCAGTAAAGTTCATGTTTTTAACTTCTTCATTAAAGTGTAAAGAAGTGCCCAAATCCTAAGTGCCTAGCTTAGCGAGTTTCCACTGAGCGAACACTCTTGTGTGATTAGCTTCTGAACCCAAAACACAACCTGACCATCTTCCAGGAGCCCCGTTGGGCCCTGAGGCGATCCCTGTCCAGGGCAGTGCTGGCACCAGCCCAGACCCATTCTTGGAGTGGCCTGACATCAGCTGCGGCAGGAGCATTTGCACTAAGATTGGCAGGCGCTATGGAGCGGCCCCTGCCCCCACCACCCTCGGTGGTTAAATGTTTGCCAGCAGCCCCTGGGCTAATGAGCCACCAAGCTAGCCAGTTGGCTCCTGCCCTTGCTAGAATGATAAAGATGGATGTGGTCTCTTTCTCAGCTTGACACAAAGGGGGTCATTGATCTTAGGCTGTTTGGATGCAAAAGTAACATTTTTCTCATGCTGATCTGTTGACTAGATGCAGCTCCAAAGTTCCCAAAGGGATGGGTGGGGTATATGAACGGACAAGCCAGTTTTTAAGATTAAAAGGAAATGTTTAGGACCCAGAATGGCCAAGGTGAACGTGAAGATCACAGTGAAGGCGCTGGCTTACACTATCAGATGTCACAAGTTACTACAAAACTGCAGTTGCCAGGATACTGTGGACATAGCGCCCAAGGCAGAGTCTGGAGGCAGACTCACCCATCATAGACCTTGGTCCGTGACGGGATGAGGTAGACTCGACCGCGTCATCCACAGAGGCCCATTGTAGGGGCTTATGAGTCCTTTAAGGCACTGCAGTGAAGCTTCCAGATGAAAATAATATTTTTGTGGCCCTGAAGTAGGCAGAGGTTTCTTGAACAGGCCACAGAAAGCACCAACCAGTGAGATCTGTTCAGTGGGTAAGCTGGCTTTGTGCATCAGGCAGCTGGGTGTTGGTATGCATGGCTTCACTGCATCCTGGGTGTTTGGGGGCAGTGGACCTGACCCACTCTGATGGCCTCCCCAGGGTCCCACGGACCAGGAGCTCCTGCCCGGGGCTGCTGCTTCCTGCTCCATCATGTACCTCTGACTGTGCTGTCACAGTCTCTGCGTTGCTCCATATGTGCTCAGTCCAGATTGGCTGTGGCTTTTTTCTCTAATGTGAAGTGTTGCCTCTTCCCTCCCTGATGGCAGCGGATCGAGTGAAGAAGGGGTTTGACTTCCAGTGGCCCCAACCTGATAAGCCAATGTTCTTCTACGTGACCCAGGGCCAAGAGGAGATCGCCAGCTCAGGCACCTCCTACCTTAACAGGTAAGCAGACTCAGCTGTGGCGTTTACAAGCTTCGTTTGTAGCTTGGCACGTGGCCACTCACCACTTGCTAATGTGTTCATTTCTTAACGCAGTGCTAAAACTTGCCCTTGCCCTCCTTGTCCTCATTCTGTTTGGACACCTACACCAACATCTTATTTCCGCCTTGCACTTTCAGTATGTATTTTTTCTATTGAGCAGATCTTCCTTTCTTTCTTTTAAAGAATTGTATAATTTTATTTTTTATCATATCTCGGCCTTTTGGCTAAGATCAAGTGTAATTTCATTTTTTAACATCTGTTTATTTTGAAAGAGAGTGTGCACAAACAGGGGAGGGGCAGAGAGAGAGGAGAGAAAGAATCCCAAGCAGGCTCTGCACTTTTCACGCAGAGCCCTACAAGGGGCTCGATCCCACAAACTGAGATCATGACCTGGGCGGAAATCAAGAGTCGGGTGCTTGACCGAGCCACCCAGGCACCCCTGTTGAGCAAATATTTCTAAGCCCACATGTGAGCCTTTTCTCTCCCCTTGTGACTCCCTTGGTAAATGATGTGCACCGGACAGGGCCTTCACAGGGCCACCCTGGAGGTGGGACTTGTCCCCATACCTCCCACAGCCTCAGGAGCCCACCGGTACAGCCCAGGAACTGAAAGGCTAATTTTCGTAGGACGGAAGCTGCAAATGTGGAGAAGATCACCACGAAGCTGCTAAAGGCGGGTGCCAAGCCTGACCAGATCGGCATCATCACTCCCTATGAGGGCCAGCGCTCCTACCTGGTGCAGTACATGCAGTTCAGTGGCTCCTTGCACACCAAGCTCTACCAGGTGCACACCTGATCGGGTCTGTTGGGTCCCCACTTGACCGGATCTCCTGGCCCGGGAGTGTGAACTGGCGTAGTTTTGTGAAGGCGCCAGGTTCCCTCAGGTTATTCTCAGGATAGTTTTCAGAGCAAAACTTAAAATAATCCCAGGTTGAACACTATAGCGTAGTTGTTAGCATTAGCCTTACAGTGGATATTACATAGTCGTGAAAATGCTGTTCACTGTTGTGTCAGCTCCTGGATAAAACCTCCAGAATACAGGACAAGATAATTATTTCTCTATGTGGAAGTGAACTAAAATGCAAAGTAAGACCAGCGGTCTCTCTTCTGTTAACTTGGGTACAGTCTGACGTTTTTTGTGATAGGCATGTACGCTTTTATTGTTGGGAAACAAATTGCCAAGGTTAAAAAGACAACCAAAGCACAGGAAGGCTAGGAGAGTGGGGCTGGGGACTGGGAAGGCCCAGTGGGAGCAGGCGTAGCCAAAGGGGCCCCCTCCTCGCTCCCCAGAGGTGCACTGAGCAGGGGGCTCTGCAGGCTTTGGGTCCCAGGCTTACTGGTGGGATGGGACGGTGCGTCTCAACACAGTTCACACAGTCTGAGGGTCCTTGAAGGCAGCCAACTGACTATGACCATGTGTCCCTTGTAGGAGGTGGAGATTGCCAGTGTGGATGCGTTCCAGGGACGAGAGAAGGACTTCATCATTCTTTCCTGTGTGCGAGCCAATGAGCACCAAGGCATTGGGTTTTTAAACGACCCCAGGCGGCTTAATGTGGCTCTGACCAGAGCAAGGTATGGACTAAGTCCCCTTGGACCTTGCCAGTGGTCGGGTGCCTCGTTCCTGCCATGGGAGTTCTTCAGAGGGACTTTTCCCTTGGAATCTGGAGCTGGGAGGGTCCACCCGAGAGCTGATCCTTGCCCGGTCATCCTCTTCCTGTGATTAGTCCTCGCATCACACCCTTACAGGGCGGGGTGGGACTTCAGCAGCCCAAGGTCAGAGCACTCACAAGCAGCAATCTAGAAAGAATGCCTCCCTGCAAGACACTTTTGTTTATTGTCCTGTTGGGTTTCTGTGGCTTCAGTTTTGTGGGACGTGTCATCTCGGCCCTTTTGACCTAAGATCAAAACGCAGTAGCATGGGTTGTGTCCCTGTAGAGACTTTTAATCCATGAAATCTAATCTTTTGGTCCTGGGGTGTAACCTTTTTTGAAACAGTGATGATAGCAGAGGGCACCCAGAGAATTAGGTGGCCTCCTGTGTCACCCTTGAGTAAAACCAGACCACAGCTGCCCTCATACGTTGGTTCCTTCCCCTGTCAGGGTATCTTGGTTTTTGTCTGTTACCCCCACCCCCACCCCCTTCTAAGGTGCTCTCGTTTGGTGGCCAACAGTGGGGGTCCAAGTTCAACTTGGGGGTCTTGACACGGCTAGGTGAGGGTGAGCATCTGCCAGAATTGAGTTCCATGCCCCAGCTTGTCAGGGTTCCTGAGGCCACAGAGCCTGCTGAGACTGCCGATAACTTCCCAGGAGGCCGAATCATGGCTGCAGAGAGACTCGTCTGTGAGCTCATCTGCTCGTTGTGTTTTGACATCTGGATTCCTTAGAAACTGCCTGCAGATCTGTCCAGTGCACTGTTGGCAGCTTGCAGGGTGGGCTCCATTGCCAGGTCACCATGACCAGCAACCTGCCTGTCCATCCCCAGGCCTCACGTTGGGCACTGTCACAGGCAGGCCAGGCGTCTGGGGAGGGATTTAGTGGGTGGGATGAGAGGAGAGCGGCCTGGGCTTGGCTCCTCTCACCTTGGATGTGGATTTTGAGTTTGTTCAGTCTCTCCTCATACTTTTCTTCGTGGTGTTCTGCTCACCGTGCAGAACCCTAAACACCGCGTTCTTGGGCCCACACCTTGCAGGTATGGGGTCATTATCGTGGGCAACCCAAAGGCCTTGTCCAAGCAGCCACTCTGGAACCACCTGCTGAACTACTACAAGGAGCAGAAGGTGCTGGTGGAGGGGCCCTTGAACAACCTTCGGGAGAGCCTCATGCAGTTCAGCAAGCCCAGGAAGCTGGTCAACACCATCAACCCGGTGAGCACTGGCTGTGGGTGGCCAGAAAGGTGTGGAGGAAGACTGTGCCAAGAACCCCCTTCTCCCCAGGCCGGTGTCCTGGCACATGGTAATGGGCAATGGCAGGTATGACCTGTAGTAGGTGTGAGCCGAGGGTGAACACACATGTGTGTGTGTACTGGAGTGATCACGCTGGCCTTTGCCCCAGAGCTCTCCCGGCCCAGGTCTCACAAGCATTCTTAGGCCTTTTTGGACATGGCCTTTAGGGATGCAAAGTCATGGGTGGCGCCTAGGAGTTGAACACAGGCAGTTAGGAAACCTCGTGAAGCCGGGGTGCTCTGGGGGACTTAGAAGCGGTGATGCTGCTTGATGTGAAGCCTGGAGACAAACATTCAGCACCAAAGGCCAGGTCTGTGGAGGAGGGGTGGGCAAGGCCCAGCAAGCCTCAGCGTTGGCCTAGTCATGGCCTGGAAGGTGGCCAAGCCATCACATCTTTAGAAAGTTCTTCCTTGTGTCAAGGTGATAAATTCCTCACCTATCTAAACCCTTTGCAGGGAGCCCGCTTCATGACAACAGCCATGTATGATGCTCGGGAGGCCATTATCCCAGGATCAGTCTATGATCGGAGCAGCCAGGGTGAGTCTGCTCTGTGGGGGGTACCACACTGCCCTGTGGATGTTGATCATTCCCACGCCTGCACCTTTTGGCTCGGTCACTCCTGGGGTGATCTCCCAAACCTCAGTCCACAGAAACCTGCCTGATGAAGAGAGTTCCTTCTTGCTTTCCCTTGCCTGAAATCAAAGAATTGGTCTTTGTCAGTTTCTAAGTACAAAGTGTTTTTTAAATACCATAGCTCTGCCTTGTCGAGGTCTCCAGGCAAATACTGTAGCGCTGCCCGTTTGCTCCCGTGCCGCAGGCCGCAGCGCTCCCCACCCACCCCACCGTTTGCTCACCTTCTCAGCGGGAGGGGCACTCCTGCAGCGCCTCTAGGCCCCCCACGGTCTTGGTTCTGGTTTCACTGCCTTCCCCAAGTTTCTGCTTGTTTTCTCAGACTGCTCTCCTGTGTGGGGTCTCTGTGTCCTAAGGCTGAGCCTTAACTCTTGCTGCATGGAGTACCTCCTCTTGCTGGAGCCAGTGTCTAGATCGTTCCCATTCATTCCCCAGGTCCCTGCTTCCTGGGACGCTTCCCTGCACCAGTCTCTACAGAAGGTGACAGCTCGCCCAGGTGCTTGAGGCCACATGCCCGCATTTTACATTGAGCCTCGTACCCTCATGTACTCACTGGCCATCCTGGGGCCAGGTATGCCCTAGTAGCTGGTCTTGTGTGAAGTGGGCGAGCCCCCTTTCCTCGCTTGCCTGTTACTCTGCTTGGTGGGTTCAGGTGACAAATCTCATTGGCACATCCAGTGAGTTGTGTAGTTGAGGGTACTCTGGGCCCATCCTTCGTCCTTGAGCGCACTGTGGGCCCAGCTGAGGCTCTCGACCCTTGGGGGCAGACCAGAAGGTCACACTCTCGTGCCTCAGCAGCTCACTTTGGCTCCCCAGCCCCTAGGGCAGCTCTGTGCAGATTGGGACATCCCTAGCCTTGGGTGTACCGGGGGGGCCTTTGCCTTCGTAGGATCCACTAGTCTGTCAGCTCAGGTGTTTTCTTGTTTTCGGTGGAGTGGTGGAGACAGGGGTGCGTGTAATACGAATGAAAAGTTTGTCCTACAAAGGACTCTTTCTTTTTTTTCCCCCCAGTTGGAAATGAAGTGTAGTTTGGATGCTTGTAGGCCATTGATTCTCCAAATCCCGTGAGAGAAAAGCTTGTTCCCAGGAGCCAGCCCCAGAGAGGCTATCCCCAGGGAGGCTATCGAGAGTGGGAGTTGAGTTGTGAGATTCTGTATCAGGTGGCCTCGTTACAGGACTGCACGAAGAAACGCTGTGGCAGTCAGAGCAGTGACAGGACAAGACGGACATTCCAACCATTCCCACTGCCATTTGGGGGCCAGGCAGTAGGCTCATTTGGATATGGCAAGTGACACCTGCTGTCTACCTTGTGTCTTGCAGGCCGGCCCTCAAACATGTACTTCCAGACCCACGACCAGATCGGCATGATCAGTGCGGGACCCAGCCACGTGGCTGCCATGAACATTCCCATCCCTTTCAACCTGGTCATGCCACCCATGCCACCACCAGGGTATTTTGGACAAGCCAACGGGCCAGCCGCAGGTGAGTGCGCCAGGCAGCAGCACCGAGGACAAAGCGCACTGGTGTCGGAGTTTGTTCACATCTGGGCTTTGAGCGGTTGGGCCCGTCTGTCAGGTGCAGACCTCCTTCAAGGAACCCTGGACTGCTGTCTTTCAGGCCGGGGTACCCCAAAAGGCAAGACTGGTCGTGGGGGGCGCCAGAAGAACCGCTTTGGGCTCCCTGGACCCAGCCAGACGAATCTCCCCAACAGCCAGGCCAGCCAGGATGTGGCATCACAGCCCTTCTCCCAGGGCGCCCTGACACAGGGCTACATCTCCATGAGCCAGCCCTCCCAGATGAGCCAGCCCGGCCTCTCCCAGCCCGAGCTGTCCCAGGTGAGCCAGCAGCAGAGAAGTCAAGACAGTCGGAAGGAGCCCTCCCCATGTGCAGACCTCACACGCTCCCCCCTAGCGGCCTGAGCACGCCTCTCAGAAGGATGGCCTCCTACGTATCCTACCCTTGGCAGGGGGTACTGTGGGGTCTGGAACATTACCTCTCCGATCTTGTCTTAAGCGGTGGTCTGGGTTACCTGTGTTCTGTGAAAAGGTAACCAGTGTGGGTCCTGTGCCGCTTAGGCTTCAGTAGCGAGTTGCCCGGATCCTTCTCTGGGGCTGGTGAGGGGCTAGACATGGAGCAGGTTCTTGAGGCTGCAAGGATTTTAGCACATCCTCTGCTCGGGTGCTTATTTCCCCAACTTTGTTTTTCAGGACAGTTACCTTGGCGATGAGTTTAAGTCACAGATTGATGTGGCGCTGTCGCAAGACTCCACGTACCAAGGGGAGCGGGCGTACCAGCACGGCGGAGTGACAGGGCTGTCCCAGTACTAGAAGGCAAGCTGATCCCTGCAGGAGGTCGTCGCCAGTAACTGGATTTGATGGGAGATATGGGAAATGTGTGGGAGGGCTCTCAAGACCCCCAGAGGCCAGCTTGTCCTTCGAACTGTCATTTTCGCTCCCTGTACATCTGCTCATGGCAGTGGGAGGATGGGAGCTTCATACACACCTCTCTGCATCATAGTCCCTCCTGAGAGAGTCCTCGAACTCAGCGAGGAAGGGCTGGATGTGGGAGTCCTGGCGGAGGGGCACCTCTGCAGGAGGGCCTTCCAGGTTCCCTGAAAGCCCTGTCCTATGGTTCCCCTGACTGTGGCGTGACCAGAGCTGGGCGAGCGTGGGCCTGGTCCCCTCTCCGTGCGTGTGCTGGGGAGGTGGGGTGCTGGTGCCGCTGACAGAGGAGGCCCCTTAAACTCTTGGCTTCCTTCTCTCTGGGTGGGGAGTCACTAGCCTGGGCACCCGGCTTCTGAGGTTCCATTTCGCGGGTGCAAAGGGAAGTGGGGGGAAGAGCCCCGCACCTTCTAGCTGCCCAGCCGTGTGGGGCTCTGCCTTCTCTGATGGCCCCTTGCCTTCCTCCCTCCCCACAGGTGGCGGCGGAAGAGCTAAGCTATGTGGCTTAGTCCATCAGCATCTTATTCTGGGTAATAAAAAATAAAAATAAATGGATACCTGTTTTCCACTGCTAAAACTGAAGCACCACTGTGAGCAACAGGAGAGGGAGAGGAGCACCCGAGGGAGAGAGGAGCCCGAGACAGAGCGAGCGCCCACTGCTGGCCCGCGGCGGCGAGGAGAAGGAGAAGGGAGAGCGGGAGGCGGGCGGCCACGGAGGACCGCCCGCCAGCGAGCCCTGCCAGCCCCGCTCGCCAAGGAGGCCCAGCGCTCGCCGCGTCCACACCTGGGTCTGCGACCAGGGCGGAGGGAGGAAGACCCTCATCTCAGAGTAGCCCTTTCCTCTGTTCTTTTCTTTCTGTTTCTGTTTTATTGAAAGGGGACTACGTTTTAGCAGGAAAAACTTCGCATTTCTGTGCCGAGCAGGCTCCTTGCCGGGGCAGCCATGCCGGGAGAGCCCCGAGGAGGTGTGGGTTCTGTCCACACCAGCTCTGAAACTGCCCTGGTCACGCTGCCTGTGTTCTAAGAGGGTTTCATTTAAAGAAAACACGGTGTTTTGGGTTTTTCTGTTTGTTTTTTAAAGATTCTTTCAAAGGAGTACTGAAAAACATACTTTCCTGAGTTTGTCTCTCAAATCTTAGTGGTGGACCTGGAAGATGTGAGAAGCTTCCAGGAACGAAGTTTAAACAAGCCAACACATCTCAAGATTAGGATCAACACCTGTGACGGGATCGCGAGGAGGATTTTTGTTTTCAGTTTTAGCTTCCAGCGGCTTCTCCCTGCACGTCAGGGCGGTGAGAGAGCACCGTCTCGTCCCGGGCCAGGCAGCCCCAGTCTCCGCTGGACTCTGAGAAGCAAAGTGCTTCCTACACGCGGTGGACTCGCGCCCCAGCCACCCACCCTGGGAGGGGCCTTGGGCAGGACTGGCTGTGAGGCCAGAGGGTGGGGAGGTGGCTATTCTCTGGCCAGTGGCTTCTTCCCTAGGGTCCTTCCTGAGGATTTGATGGAAGACAGCAGCAGCCAAGAGGACCCATCCCCAGGGAGGCACCCACGGTCCCCGTGGCTGGTTAGACACGCTGAGTGCCCCACTCACCTTGTTTTCTACCCCACCCTCCGAGTTGGGAGCCCCTCTACCTGTGGGCACAGGTGTGATAGGGTGGAGTGATTTCTGCTTTTTGGGGGGGAAAGGAGCATGTATCAGAAATAGGTTGGTTCTGTGCCGAAGGGGCTTGGGCCACAACACAAGAAGTTACTGTAGCTGGGAGAGCCACCCCCAGCTCCTTGCGCACCACGGTGGGGTAGTACTGTCTCCCTGGCAACCACCTATTTGGGGACCATTCCCTGCCTATCCAGGCCCTGGTGACCCTGCCCACCCCCCCACCCCCCCAGCTTCCCCGTCCCTGTGAGGCGAACACTGGCCCTGATCTCAAAGCCTCCAGATTCCAGCTTGTACGTGGGAGACGGGGACACACAGGCCACCTTCCTTCTGGCAAGGCCTCTTATTTATTACCATTGCTGTAGGGCTTTCGGTTTCCCCCTTCTTTTGATAGGCCACATAGAGGCATAGAGTTTGGATAGGTTTCCGCTATGACCCCTTGTGCGACACACCCCGTGGGCAACACCTGTGCC